CACAGAATTCTGCTCTTACCTCCACTTTTTATAGCAAAAGCGTCTATTTTTGTATCTTTCTACCCTGCTCAATTGTACCGTTGTGGGCAAACACTGTATCTCGCTTTTCATTTTACCCACCAGCCTCTAGTCCCACGTCTAGCAAATCCCAGGCTTTTGTCAATATTTGTCAAACCAAACTGACAAAGAATATTCAGATAGTAGACTCCAGCAGGCAGCCAATGGGGCCTGGCTTGCAGCCTTGCACGCATACACTTCTATCAAATGGCAAATCTCTCCTGCAGGGGGGAAGGGGAGTGCAGCTCCTATGTCTACAGCCACTGGAAGCTAACTGGGGCCCTGGATGGTCTACAATAAAGCAAAACATTGTGGTAAAATTGAGTGGCCAAAAGACATACATTCAAGTTATCTACGTATGAGTTTGGGCTCTACGAACTCCTTGCCTTATTCTTGGAGTAAATGAATTCAAGGAGACTGACTTACTTTCCCAAAATGTAAAAATAGGGATAAAATATTATTAATCTCAGCTGGGAGCCAGTGGCTCATGCCTGTCATCCTACCTACTCAGCAGGCTGAGATCTGAGGATTGTGGTTAGAAGCTAGCCCAAGCAGACAAATCAAAGAGGCTTTTAAACTCCAAATAATTACCAAAAAGTAGAGCTATAGCACAAGTGGTAGAGCAGCAGCCTTGAGTAAAAAAAGCTAAGAGACAGCACTAGCAGGCCTTGAGTTCAAGTCCCAGTGTTATTTCTCTCTCACACAAAAAATATTATTAATCGCATAGAATTGTTGTAAAAATTAAAATTAGCCAAGTGCTGGTGGCTCATGCCTGTAATCCTAGCTACTCAGGAGGCTGAGATCTGAGGATTGAGGTTCAAAGCCAGCCCGGGCAGGAATGTCTGTGAGACTCTTATCTCTAATTAACCACCAGAAAACTGAGAGTGGTGCTGTGGCTCAAGTGGTAGAGCCCTTGCCTTGAGCTGAAGAAGAGCTCAGGAACAGCACCTAGGCCCAGAGTTCAAGACCCAGGACTGAAAAAACAAAATTAAAATTAGCACTAAGCACACAGTAAGTATATATGTTAATTACTATTGTCAAAATCTTAAAATCTGAGTCTCAAGACATATCCTTGGGTCTAGGTCTCAAAGAGGCTGAAGAGACACCCTGGAGGTTGGATCTGTGTCAATTTTTGAATGGGCCTGGAGCTATGGCATGAAAAATTGACCATTGGCTTAGTCATAAGACTTTTGGTCATCAGTCCTGTCTCTTCTTCCTGAAATCATTTCCTAGCAGAGATGGAAAAAGAGCAACTAGGAATCCATGAGCATTTTCTACCTTCAAGTCCTGAAACTCATATAGGTATTTCCTGTTCCCCATGACTTCCTGCCTTATTCTTTTAGTCTTTCCTTCAGCTCATTTGTTTTCTTAGAGAACTGATTTCTGATTTTGGCCCCATGTAGAGCATATTTCCATGAAAACCTGTCACCACCACGTGTATGCCAAGCCCAGGGAGAACAAAGATCATGGCCCCTCTTTCTCCTGGTGTATAAGATAAATAGGAATCTGACGTGCTAATCAGGCTCTGTGCCTCACATTTCACTCACCTGTGTGTCTCTCATCCCCCACCATGTTGGCTCTTGATTAAAGAACTGCTACAGCTGTGCCTACCATGGTGCTCCTCCTGCATGGGGCTTATTAGAATCCACAAAGTGTCAGAGTTTTCAAAGGTCAAGGGAAGAAGTCAGAATCTTCCTTTGTCCACATTTTGAGCAGAAAACTTGTGAGTGGGGGTCCCGGTGCACATCACAGATTGCAAGAGATTGCTCAACCTTTGAATAGGATTCTGAACATCTTGAACCACCCTGCCTGTCCACAGTCAACCTCCTGCTCTCTTTTCTCTGAGTGAGGTCACAGGTAAATCCTTGCTATGATGATCCCCATCCCCGGTATTGAATGTTGAGGCCCACATTCCCCACTGGGAATATGAAACCCTTCTGTCATTCTGGCGGAATACAAAGCCAAGTTAATCCCCAGCTCTTTGGAAGGCAGAGCTTTGTAGTTATAGTATGCAGTATGCACCTTGACATATTGTGCCCTGAAAGGAATTTCTCTCTGAGTATGTAGCTTTGGGAATTGAAAGAGGTCTTTAAAAATCTACTCAGGATTTGTCTATTGAGATCTATAGGTATTTCCAAAGCAAACGGCCAAAGCTTACATCTAAAATGGCTTTAAAGAAGCCTGTTGTCTCAGGAAGCTTTCTTGGTGGCTGCATTTGTTCATTCTAAAAGCATACATTGACCGAGCACTTACTAATGACTTAGGATTCCACAATAGTGACAAATTCATCCTAGTTTTTAGTCTTTTACAGTTTCATGGGTGAGTTTGATATTAATTAGTTAATACTGCAAATAAACATTTAATTTCAAAGCTTTTAAAATGCCACAGAGGAAGAGTCTCATGAGAGGAAATAAGCAAGGCAGTTGGTCATTTTTTTGGAGGGGGTGCACTTAAGCTGAGATGTACTGAATAATTAAGGGTGGCGTGGGCGCCTCGGTTGCTTGGATGGGAGTTGGCTTGGGAGTTTGTTTCAGCATTTCTTCTTCACTTCGCCTGAATACAAAAAAAAATCACAAATTGTTTATCTTGTCCTTTTTTTTTTTTTTGGGTCCGGTTGTGGGGCCTGAACTCTGGGCCTGGGCGCTGTTCCTCAGCTCTTCAGCTCAAGGCTAGCGCTCTACCACTTGAGCCACAGCACCACTTCTGGCTTTTTTTCTTTTTGCTTATGTGGTGCTGGGGAATCGAACCCAGGGCCTCAGGCATGCAAGGCAAGCGCTCTACTACTGAGCCACCTTCCCAGCCCCTAATCTTGTCCTTTAATACCGAAAAGTAGGGGGAGGCTGGGGGGGGGTGCGGGGGGAGGATGGGAAGGGATGGGAAGGGGAAACAAAGGAGGAGGCTACAATGCTTGATAAGAAATGTACTCATTATCTTGCCCATGTAATTGTAACCCCTCTGTACAGTATTTTCACAATTAAAAAATACCGAAAAGAAAAGTGCATGCAACTATAGAACTGAAAGAATAAAAAAGAGCAGGGGTGCAAAGAAAAGCAACTCATTTCAGGCATGAATAATGGCATGTGTGAAGGTCCTCAGGTAGGTAGTAACTTAATGTGAATCAGGGGTAGGAAGGAAAAGCATTTCTGAAGTATGAAAAGAGCAGGTAACAGAGATATGATGTGGGAAGAGAGGGAAGGGGTAGTACAAACAAGGCTTTGCAGGTCATAATAAGGAATCTAGTCTTCAGATCAAGAGCTAGAAAAAAACTACTGAAGATCTTCAAATAGGGAATTGATATGCTTCAGTGTTTTGTTTTTCCAAGATTATTATGGCTATGGGAGGAAAGGTGGAACTGATACTCCATTCTCTAGCAAGAGTTGGAGTGGTGAGTTCATTTGGGAGGTGAAGAGTGATTCTGGCTTGGGCTATGATAGTGACAGGGAAGATGGAATGAATGTTGATAGAACTTAGGCGGGACAGGAGATAGAGGAAGGCTGAAAACACCTGATTTCTGGCATGACTAGCCAGGTAACTAAAAGTACTATCTACAGATAGGAAATGGAGAAAGAGGAGCAGATATGGAGAATAAAGATTTTGAATCTTTTACAGTACCATACAAGTGTAAATCAGCATCCCTTTATAACTAGAATAGAAGAGGGGAAAAGTAGACAGGTTAGATTTGTTTATTTATTTACTGTGTATGTGTTGGTGTATGTGTGTGTGTGCCAGTACTGTGTGTGCTTCAACTCAGGGCATCATGATGGCCTTTTGGCTCAAAGTCAGTGCTCTCTCATTGGAGCCACAGTTCCACTTCTGGCCTTTTGCTAGTTAATTGAAGATAAGAGTCTCACAGACTGTTCTGCCTGGGCTGGCTTTGAACCATGATCCTCAGATCTCAATCTCCCAAGTAGCTAGGATTACAGGTATAAACTACTAACATCAGCTTATTATTATTTTTTAAAAAGCGATTGCATGTTTATTTCCAATCATATTCTCCCTGGGCAGTGAGTAGAAAGGTGAGTTTCAACTAGATCGCCTCCTGTTCTTCTGAACTCACGATCTCTTTTTAGTGGCCTGAGGTCAGCAGATGATTGTGATACCTCCAAATCTGTCTCCAGTTTAAAAAAGATATTTGAGATCCGTTTGCATTTTTGTTACTATTTTATTCCTTTGCATATTTGGGTTTGGAATTTATGTGGCTTATTGATCTCTTTCTTCCCGTAACTGACTATCTAAGCTGTTCCTAACACATTTTACTGGAGACCAGCAGCTGCTGTGGACTGAATCTTGGGCTAGCACTGTGGTAAAGCCACAGCTTTAGATTACCAAAGTGTATGCAGCATTTCACAAGGAATCAATTCTCTTTGTTTCCTAAGAAATCTCATTAGCTTGCCTCCAAAAATTTTGCACTGGGGGAAAGAATTTACTGCAAACCTCACAGCAAACATATTCTATTTTTTGGTGGGGGAGAGAAGGGGAAATGATCCCACAAAACACTCAATCCCGTAAGTACTCCTGCAATTGTGTTAAGTAAAATTCTCTAGTCTGATCACAGTCCAGTAAGGGAGACTAAAAACTCTAGAAACAGTGCAAGTGGGGACCAAGATTCAGGCTGTAGGAATCCTAGTTTAGGTTGGTTCTAGGCAACAGTGGGGCCGAAGAAACGATTAGAAGTGCATCTCTTGGGTTTCCATCCCCAGTAGCCTCAGCGATTTCAAGCCATTCTTCAACTGGGTCTCCACCAGATGGTTGTAAGGACAGAGCAGCGATTAGTGCCTCCCATTGACATCTATTTTTCCAAGTGAGAGACAGGCCCATATGTCAGCACAATATGTCGCTTGAGGTGAACCATCCATTTGTGTTGGTGGGAACCTGCTATGTGGTACCCCTCTTTCCTCAAGCCTTTTCCTGCCTCTCTCATTTGTTATTTTTTTTCCCCCTAGGTCTCAGGCCTGTCTGGACCCTTGGTGCTGCGGTGGAAGTGAGCATCTAAGTCTTGTGTATGGCGTGGTTAAGGTTGCAGCCTCTCACCTCTGCCTTCCTCCATTTTGGGCTGGTTACTTTTGTGCTCTTTCTGAATGGTCTTCGGGCAGAGGCTGGTGGCTTGCAAGATGTGGCCAGCACAGGGCCGAACAATGAGTCCTGTTCAGGGTCGTCGGAGTGCAAAGAGGGGGTCATCTTACCCATCTGGTATCCAGAGAACCCTTCCCTGGGGGACAAGATTGCCAGGGTCATCGTCTATTTCGTGGCCCTGATATACATGTTCCTTGGGGTGTCCATCATTGCTGACCGCTTCATGGCATCTATTGAAGTCATCACCTCTCAAGAGAGGGAGGTGACCATCAAAAAGCCCAATGGAGAGACCACCACAACGACGATTCGGGTCTGGAATGAGACTGTTTCTAACCTGACCCTGATGGCCCTGGGTTCTTCTGCTCCAGAGATTCTGCTTTCTTTAATTGAGGTGTGCGGCCATGGGTTCATTGCTGGTGACCTGGGACCTTCTACCATCGTAGGCAGTGCAGCCTTCAACATGTTCATCATTATTGGTATCTGCGTCTACGTGATCCCTGATGGAGAGACTCGCAAAATCAAGCACCTGCGAGTCTTCTTTGTCACTGCTGCTTGGAGTATCTTTGCCTATATCTGGCTCTATATGATCCTGGCAGTCTTCTCTCCCGGGGTGGTCCAAGTTTGGGAAGGCCTCCTCACTCTCTTCTTCTTTCCAGTGTGTGTCCTTCTGGCCTGGGTGGCAGATAAACGACTGCTCTTCTACAAGTACATGCACAAAAAATACCGCACAGATAAACACCGAGGGATTATCATAGAGACGGAGGGTGACCACCCGAAGGGCATTGAGATGGATGGGAAAATGCTGAATTCCCACTTCCTAGATGGGAACCTCGTGCCCTTGGAAGGGAAGGAGGTGGATGAGTCTCGCAGGGAGATGATCCGTATTCTCAAGGATCTGAAACAAAAACACCCAGAGAAGGACTTAGATCAGCTGGTAGAGATGGCCAATTACTATGCTCTTTCCCACCAACAGAAGAGCCGCGCCTTCTACCGGATCCAAGCCACCCGAATGATGACCGGTGCAGGCAATATCTTGAAGAAGCATGCGGCAGAGCAAGCCAAGAAGACTTCCAGTATGAGCGAGGTGCACACCGATGAGCCCGAGGACTTTGTCTCCAAGGTCTTCTTTGACCCGTGTTCTTATCAGTGCTTGGAGAACTGTGGGGCTGTACTCCTGACTGTGGTGAGGAAAGGAGGAGACATGTCCAGAACCATGTATGTGGACTACAAAACAGAAGACGGTTCTGCCAATGCAGGAGCTGACTACGAGTTCACAGAGGGCACTGTGGTTCTGAAGCCAGGAGAGACCCAGAAGGAGTTCTCCGTGGGCATCATTGACGATGACATTTTTGAAGAGGATGAACACTTTTTTGTGAGGCTGAGCAATGTCCGAGTAGAAGAGGAACAAGTGGAGGAGGGAATGCCTCCCATCATGCTCAACAGTCTTCCCTTGCCTCGGGCCATTCTCGCTTCCCCTTGTGTGGCCACGGTTACCATCTTGGATGATGACCATGCGGGCATCTTCACTTTTGAATGTGATACCATTCATGTCAGTGAAAGTATTGGTGTTATGGAGGTCAAGGTTCTGCGGACCTCTGGTGCTCGGGGCACAGTCATCATCCCTTTTAGGACAGTGGAAGGGACAGCCAAGGGTGGTGGTGAGGACTTTGAAGACGCATATGGGGAGCTGGAATTCAAGAATGATGAAACAGTGTAAGTAACCCGGCCTCCCCGCCCCCTCTCCCACCCTCTGCCATCTCTTTCTGTTCCTCTGCACTATTCTTCAAAGCTCTTTCTTGTGACTGTGTTAATAGCAAACTTTGGTTTCATCACAGGCATGCAGGATGAGCAGATGCTACTGGACAGGCCCTGCTTTCAAACTCTCCTTCTGTTTCTCACTTTAAGTTTTCTGGGCAAGGAGGAATCCTATGACAGGATCTCAGGATGGAGAAAGTTTGTGTGCAATTGAAATGGGAGATGATGGCTGACAAAACTTCTGTCTTAATCAGACTTTGGAGACTGTTGTAAGCAAGCAAGCAAGAGCCAGCAAACTGCTTGGGCTTCTCCTTCCTCCTCATTTCCCATCAAGGGCTCTGAGCTTTGAAGCCAAACCCTTATTATTACTAGAATAGCCATAGCCCAATCAGAAGAGTCTCAAGAAAGTAAGTGGCATTGGCTTTTCATCCAGTACCATATTGTGTTATATAGCCAAATTGCAGGCACCATTCTTTCAATCTGGATATTGAACAATTGATTGAAATTTGGCAATCTCTTCACCTGTCCATAGGCTATTTTATGGAGCAAGGTTTGGTGAGTCAGGTGAGATGAGGTAGCTTCATCTGAGTCAGAATCTGGAGGTTGTCTTGGAGAAGCGAAGCTTCTCAAGGTCACAGCCTCCTGTCAGGTTTCATGTCTAAACTCCAAAATATGGGTATTTAGTGACGGAGAAGCCTCTTAGGAACTGTGGGAGAAAGTATATCTTCTGGGTGGTTCTTTCTCTGCACAGCCCAGGACTCTTGAAATGCTTCCCTGATTACTACTCCATTCAGTCCTTCAGACACTGCAGGTTTCGACAGGTCTACTGTGTCTATTGTCCTAAGGCGTCTCTCCATGGGAACCTTCTTGTGAATTGGACACTGTCTTTGTGTCAGGTGGGTAGCTTTGAAAAGAGAAAGCGGAAAGGCTTGCCTCAGAATGCGCAGACTTTCCAGTTTCTTACTTCCTGTTCCTCTCCTCAAGCAATGAGCAATAGCAGGAGATAATATGAAAAATAAAAGCGGGCAGCATGTCACACTGCTCCAGGAACTTGCTAATTTTACTTTCCATGGGAAAGGAAACCGTAGACCCCAAAATGAGGTGTTCCAAAAGCGCTGCTTCTCAGGTGGAGTCATGGGACGCAGTTCCCAAAGGGTTGGGTTCTCACCCATTGCCTTCCCAGTGGTGTGACTTTGTGCAAGTCATTTGGTAACTTCTGAACTAAACTCTCTCAGATGCCAAGTAGGAATAACAATACTTTCCTGTGCCTGGAGGTAAAGTCAGATTGTTCTGCAGCTACTTCTAGTTCTAAGACTTTCTGAACCATGGAAGTGGGTGCTCTGTTACAAATCATATTTGCACTAGCCCTCCCGCCCCCCCCAAAAAAATAAGGAATAAGGACAATTGTCTCCTGAAGGGAAATAGACATTGACAAATTGATTTATTAGAGCTCTGGTTAGTCATTTTGCTGGGAAGGATAATCATTTGTTAGCGTAAGTAAAAACCTGCTCCTTTTAGAGACTACCATCCATTTATATATGCTTTGAAGAGAGAGTTCATGCATATCAATGAAGACCAGGCCCTGGCTGGGAAGGCTAACTGAAATTTCACACATTTATAGTGATATTAGTATCTGAGAGTATAGTGCCAGGTATTAAATGATATGAAGATCACAATTTTCCTGTAATTCACCAACAGACCCATGGTCTCTCTGATTCAATACCTATTGTTTTGGGGGAGTCAGAGGCTTGGTTCCAATTCCTTCATTCTGTTGTTAATAATCAATTACGCAATAGGATTTTCGAGTATGACTACACCTTCCTCAAACTTATTTGTGCCTTGTTTGTATAATATCTTGGTGTAAATGAGCTTGTGAACTACTTGATATTTCTTCCAAATGTATGCCAGCTTCCAGAAGTTTGAAATGCTTATCCAGATAGTCTAAGGTTTGGTTAAACAAACAAACATGCTCCCATTTACTCCCTTCTACTACTTTATTGTCTTCAATATAGTTGATCCTTTGGGTCTTCTTTTTTATTATTAGCAAACGTTAGTGTACCAGAAAGGTTTGATTATGACATTTCCAAGCATATGTACAAATGTACAATGTCTCTCATCCCCTATATTACTCTCCCATCCCTATTCCTCCCTTTTGATCTTTTTTTTTTTTTTAATTTAGAACTCCAGCTCTTCCACTGTTTGGGTACTAATCTATGAGGTTATTTCCTTATGGGAATAGTATCTCTCTGGCATGGCTACTTTGATGATTGAAGATACTGTATACCTAGTGCATATAATGTACTTCATAGCAGTATTGGTGAATTAGCAATAGTCTCAGAACACACTGTCTGGGTGAGCAGATTACCTGGATCTCTGTGTGACCTTAATTAAAAATGCTAGTAATTTGCTCAGCATGAAGAGTCCTTACCTAAACTCATGAAATAATAGATCCCCAAAGGTCCTTTGATTATATTTCCTAAATGTTAATGTGCTTATCAATTGCTAAAGTACAGATTATGATTCAGAAGTTTTAGGGTAAAGCTTGAGATGTGCATTTCTAAAAAGCTCCTGCTGCTTCCAGTCTCAGCTTAAAATTGGGATCCAAAAAAGAGTGGCTTTTCAAATGGCTTGCCTAACGGAATCATGAATGCTTACTTTCCAGTCCCAACTTTCTATCCCAGTTAGAAAGAACCCAGCTCTTACAGAGGCCCTGCTAATTGCAAGACCAATCTGGGAACTGAAATGGAAACCACCAGGGCACTTGGAAGGAACAGTGTGATACTTGGAACAATCCCTCTTTCCAACTCTAGCCCTTTGAGAAGCTTTATTTGCCTGCCTTGCTGGCAGTGTGGAACTCTTGCCATGACCATGGTCCCTTAAATATGATCAAGATGTAAGGCAGCACTGAACCCCTGAATTCAAAAGTGCCCCTTAGAGTGTGGTGGGATGAAAGACATGGACTTTGGAACCTAGTGAACAGATGCAAATCATCACTCACCATCTTCATAAAGCTGAAGCAGTCACCTGTCCAAACTCAAGGGTTCTTTTTTGTTGGAATGATAGAAATAATAATATCTACATGTTTGCAAGGGAGTGATGAGTTCCAAATACAAATATGAAAAAAATGAACCTTTAGCACAGTGCTTTCTAATAGAAGGTGCTCAGTCATTCAACAAACATTTGTTAAAGATTTGCTATATACTAAGTACATTTTTAGGCAACATGGGATAAATAATGAGTAAGACAATTTGGTATTTCATTACTGAAAATCTTATTCTCAAGAGGAGAGTATCCAGGTATCTCTCTCTCTCTCTCTCTCTCTCTATCTATCCATCCACATGTAAATCCAGCACACTGGAGAAGGGTATGGTTGTTGTAGATTCAATAAAAGAGGAATGAGCCAGGTGTGATGGATTATGTCTTGTAATGCTAGCTACTCAGAAGGCTGAGATCTGAGGATCATGGGTTGAGGCCAGCTCGGGCAGAAAAGTCCATGAGACTCTTTTCTCCTATCAGTTACATGCTGGAAGTTGAGATGTGGCTCAAGTGATAAAGTTCCAGTCTTGAGTGATAAAAAGCTAAGTGAGAAGGCAAGACTCTGAATTCAAGCCCTAATCCTGGCACAAAATAAATACATAAATAAAAGAGGAACAGGAGCTCTCTGTTGTGTATCACAACTATCTGTTGTGACACCACTGAAGTGTATAAAGTACCCTTCATGGAGGACATGGTAGTGATGGAGGTGGAGTGAGGTCATGTGAGAAACTTGTATCTACATTACAATAAACCCTGACATTTGCAAGCAGCAGTGTTGACATCTTCATATTGAGAATAATCCTCACTTGTATGACTATCATTATGGTACTTTGGGAGAATTATGGCCTGGGAGACTCCAGCATACATGTAACAAACTCTCATGGAGAAAGGATTTTTGCCTGCATGCTAATTTCTCTCATTAAACAAGCGACTGATTCCTACCTCCCAGGCTCACACAGCACGCTTCTGCAAAATAACAGATTATTGCAGCTCAAAGACCTCTGGGGTCTCTGGGAATAGTCAAAGCCACAGATGTCAAATATGCAAATACCATGATCCACAATAATTAAATAGCAAGGCTTCCTTCAGAGAAGAGTAGAGTAGCAGCTCTGCTTCACATCTCCTAACCAAATCAGAATGCAAAAGCTGGAAGATGTCTGACTTCCCATTTTACACATTGTAAAGTTCACATTCAGAGGGAAAATGACTTGTCCAATATCACACAACTAGTTGATAGGGGGTCAGGGGTGGAAAGGACTTGAGAAACTACTGATCCCCTTTTGGACTTTTCTCTTACTTTTGCTCATCAGTAACTTTGCAAGGACGAGCAGTATGTATGTGAAAGATGCTCTAGAAATATAACTATGGGAGAATCATAGGACTGTAATAATATAGACTATTTCTAATATCTTGGTTCAACTTGAGACTGACCAAGAAGGTTTTCTTTTGTATTATTATTACTGTTGTTGTTGTTGTTGTTATCATTTTCTAGTTGTTCAGGTCAAACTTTCCTTGTTCACTCACAAGAAATATTGGAGGACCAAAGCAAGGCATGTGAGCGAGGAGGCTCTTCCTGGTAACCCAGCTTCCTGGATGTATATGGATAAAACATGAGCTCATTTCCTCTGTCCTTTGACCATGCCCCCATCAACCCAGTAAAGAAGGTAGTAGGGTTGTGGTCCCTAACTTATTCAAGACATTGTTTTCAAGATACTTAAAACAATTTATTGTAAAGGTGATATACAGAAGGGTTGCATATGTCCGGTAGTATGTATATTTCTTTTTGAACAGTGTCTGCCCCTCCCTTACTTTTCAAGGCACTTTTTTTTGGTCAGTTGTGGGGCTTGAACTCTGGGCCTGCACGTGGTTCTTGAGCTCTTCAGCACAAAGCTCTACCACTTGAGCCGTAGTGCCACTTTGGT